TTCCTGTGTATACTGTTGAGAAACCTGGCTTCAAACAACTTCTTGAACATTTGAACAACAGGTATGCCCTTCCTTCACGGAACTTTTTCATGCACACTGAAATCCCAGCCCTATATAACGAAACGAAAGAAATAGTCATGAACCATCTTGGAAGGAAACCCTTTTTTTCATGCACCACTGATCTGTGGACAAGCAGGGCCGCTTCCACGTTCATGGCAGTAACACTGCAATTTATCACTGAAACCTGGAACATGCCGAGCTGGTGTTTGGGCTGTACTGGGCTCAACTCTGAGCACACAGCAGAATGCTTAAGGGAAGCATCGGAAGAAATGATACAAGATGCATGGAAGCTGGACATGTCATACATGGCTGGAAGCACCACTGATAATACTTCAGCAAACATGAAAGCATTTCAGCAAAACTTCACATGGGTCCCCTGCTTTGGGCATACAGTGCCTTGCGAAAGTATTCGGCCCCCTTGAACTTTGCGACCTTTTGCCACATTTCAGGCTTCAAACATAAAGATATAAAACTGTAATTTTTTGTGAAGAATCAACAACAAGTGGGACACAATCATGAAGTGGAACGAAATTTATTGGATATTTCAAACTTTTTTAACAAATAAAAAAACTGAAAAATTGGGCGTGCAAAATTATTCAGCCCCCTTAAGTTAATACTTGGTAGCGCCACCTTTTGCTGCGATTACAGCTGTAAGTCGCTTGGGGTATGTCTCTATCAGTTTTGCACATCGAGAGACTGAAATTTTTGCCCATGCCTCCTTGCAAAACAGCTCGAGCTCAGTGAGGTTGGATAGAGAGCGTTTGTGAACAGCAGTTTTCAGTTCTTTCCACAGATTCTCGAGTGGATTCAGGTCTGGACTTTGACTTGGCCATTCTAACACCTGGATATGTGTATTTGTGAACCATTCCATTGTAGATTTTGCTTTATGTTTTGGATCAGTGTCTTGTTGGAAGACAAATCTCCGTCCCAGTACTCAGGTCTTTTGCAGACTCCATCAGGTTTCCATCCAGAATGGTCCTGTATTTGGCTCCATCCATCTTCCCATCAATTTTAACCATCTTCCCTGTCCCGGCTGAAGAAAAGCAGGCCCAAACCATGATGCTGCCACCACCATGTTTGACAATGGGGATGGTGTGTTCAGGGTGATGAGCTGTGTTGCTTTTACGCCAAACATAACATTTTGCATTGTTGCCAAAAAGTTCGATTTTGGTTTCATCTGACCAGAGCACCTTCTTCCACATGTTTGGTGTGTCTCCCAGGTGGCTTGTGGCAAACTTTAAACGACACTTTTTATGGATATCTTTAAGAAATGGCTTTCTTCTTGCCACTCTTCCATAAAGGCCAGATTTGTGCAGTATACGACTGATTGTTGTCCTATGGACAGAGTCTCCCACCTCAGCTGTAGATCTCTGCAGTTCATCCAGAGTGATCATGGGCCTCTTGGCTGCATCTCTGATCAGTCTTCTCCTTGTATGAGCTGAAAGTTTAGAGGGACGGCCAGGTCTTGGTAGATTTGCAGTGGTCTGATACTCCTTCCATTTCAATATTATCGCTTGCACAGTGCTCCTTGGGATGTTTAAAGCTTGGGAAATCTTTTTGTATCCAAATCCGGCTTTAAACTTCTCCACAACAGTATCTCGGACCTGCCTGGTGTGTTCCTTGTTCTTCATGATGCTCTCTGCGCTTTAAACAGACCTCTGAGACTATCACAGTGCAGGTGCATTTATACGGAGACTTGATTACACACAGGTGGATTCTATTTATCATCATTAGTCATTTAGGTCAACATTGGATCATTCAGAGATCCTCACTGAACTTCTGGAGAGAGTTTGCTGCACTGAAAGTAAAGGGGCTGAATAATTTTGCACGCCCAATTATTCAGTTTTTTATTTGTTAAAAAAGTTTGAAATATCCAATAAATTTCGTTCCACTTCATGATTGTGTCCCACTTGTTGTTGATTCTTCACAAAAAATTACAGTTTTATATCTTTATGTTTGAAGCCTGAAATGTGGCAAAAGGTCGCAAAGTTCAAGGGGGCCGAATACTTTCGCAAGGCACTGTAACTTGCACCTAGCCATTAACAAGGGCCTGGATATAGACCGTGTGTCTGGGGCACTGTCGAGGTTAAGAAAGACAGTGTCTGTTTTTAGCAGGTCACCGACGATGTTGAGACAGCTGAAGAAAAAACAAAAAGATTTGCAAGTGCCTGAACACAGAATGATCCATGATGAGCCCACACGCTGGGATTCAGCTTATCAAATGGTGGAGAGATTTCTAGAACAGCAGCAAGCTGTCTGTTCAGTTCTAGCTGATGATTGGAAGAAATGGCACCTCATGCCCAAAGATTCAGATATTACAGTTCTTGAGACTGTAAAAGAGGTATTGAGCCCCATCAGCTCTTTCACGGATGCCCTTAGTGGTGAAAAACACACCACTCTCTCTGCAGTCCTGCCTCTGTGTTGGAAGATCTTCTCTACTTTGACAGTTGAGGAAGGTGACAGCAATCTAAAACGTCAACTTAAAGACAACATCAGAGAAGATCTCAGACAGAGATATGAGGGCACACAACTGCAGCTGATATTAAACACAGCCACATTTCTTGACCCAAGGTTCAAGGACAGTTTTGTAACCCTAAGAGGGGAGGTTAAACAGAATCTTACGGTCAGTGTCAATTTGCAAGAAGCAGGGAGCCAAAGTCAGCAAACATCATCTCCAGATGACAAGCAGCAACCAGCAAAAAAAACTAAATCAGATCTGAAGAGACTGTTAACAAGCATTCAGGGGGAAAACAGTGTGAACATGGAGAGGGTCCATCATCCAGAGAAGAAGATGAGGGTGCAGAAACAGAACTCAAAAATGAGTTCTCAGTATATGAAAAGATGCCTGAAATCAGTGCAGAAGAGGAGCCACTTACATGGTGGAGGACACATGAGACAACTTTACCTCACCTTGCCCAGTTTGCTAAGAAGTATCTGTGCATCTTCAAGTTCAGCTTCAGAGCGTGTATTTAGTACATCAGGGCTCATTTGCAGTGCAAGAAGGGCACGACTTAGGGAGGAACACATTGACATGCTGGTTTTCCTAGTTCAAAATCTGAAAGTTGCAAAACAGGATCTAGTAATGGGCGTCAATCTCACTCTACTCACTGTAGAGAACATCTGCATATAATTGCAGTAACAAATTCTATTGTTTACTAATTTGTTACTTGATGCATAAGATTGCACTGATTTTGTTTTTGCTTGAAGTTTAAGTATATTGGTGATGTTGTGTTTGGATTTGATTTTACTTGGAAATACAAAAGACTGCACTTTTTTTTTTACTTGCACTTGATTGGTTTTTGAATGTATGGCAATCTGAGAGGCTTTTGAACACTACCTCAAGGCATTTTTGATCATGTAAACTATACCTCATTGTCATGTTCTAGACTTGTTATATTTATCTTTGAATAAAAAAAAATTACCCCCTCAATATTGTAGCAGTTTTTTTCTCCATGGTATCGAAAATGGTACCGAGTATCGATATTTTTCAAGGTATCGTATCGAAGTTAGAAATTCCAGTATCGTGACAACACTAGTTTATAATTAGCATATTCTAAAAATAAATTATCTTTGTTAACTTTGCCACTTCTGGCAACCATTTCAAGTTATATAAAATGTCTTTATTTCTTAATAGGTCAAAGACTTGGGCTACAACAGGAACACTGTGTTTCTACAAGTAGCTCCAAAAATAAGGCTGAAAAGTGGGATTTCACTCTGGTCAATCACCTGAGTCACATCTAGCAGGTAGATCTGGAGGAAGAACCCCAGAGTGCTGCCTGTGATCTGGTATGGAGCCCCACCAATGGCATAGCAGAGTTTGCTGCACACAGACAGATGTTTTCTCTGGTCCTTTGACTGGAAGAGAAGAAGAGGGGAGGACAGGAAAGATGCACAATGCAGTTAGTTTGGCTTTATAACAGTTTGTGCGTCTAGCTGTAAACACTAGAATCCTCACATTCCCTGAAGAACTATAAATTAAGGTGTGCTGCTTAATCACTGCCCTTGCAAACTGATTTTAAATGAGCTGTTTGGGCTGAGATTAGCTAATGTCCCTCACCCTGTTGCTCAGAATGTCAGATGAGAATCCCCTCAGTGGTGAAGCAGTACAAGCCTATATGCTGCAAGTGGTGTGAAGCCATGAGGTTACTGTGGTTCACACACTCTTCTACATCACAAAGACTACAGCGCAACGATTGGCTCTAGCAATAGGATGTTGATGTGGGCAGTGAGGTAGTGTGACAGTCAGCAGCCACAGCCAATCGCCTATAAGAGTGTGATGATGTCAGCAGACACCTTACAACACCCCTCCCTTTGGGAAACAACTGATACCTCCTCACGAAATATTCTCCACGTCACACTCACCAGTATCCAGAGACCATGCTATGGAACTAAAAACACAACTAAATAAAGGCACACGGAAAGTAGAGAATAAACATCTAAATGGGAGATCATCATTATTATTATTATTGATTTGATTAATTAACTTGAAGCATTTTGCTTGAAAGATTACTGATTCAAAAGAGTTGCAGATCCATGATTAAACGTAACGATGAAATGATGTGGAAGGTATTTTGGGCTGTATATGAACAAAATGATGACCAATTTCCTCCTATAATATACAGTACATGTCCAATTATGACAGTTTGAGTTTTTCTAGGCACGTACAGTTAATTTAAGTCCTTTAAGGCTTCCAGACTGAACTAACACACAAACAAGTCTCTGTACTGACATGATAGATTTAAATGCTTTATACCAACAGCCCTGCTCAATATAAGACACAGTGAATCAGCTCTCAAGCAACAGCACCACGTCACGTCACGTCTTGTGAAAAGTAAAAGCTGCTGTTTGGCAGGACTATGAGGTTTGAATATATTCTCTAAAACACTACCTTTAATGTAGACGTGGATCCTTTAAATAAGTCAAATCAGAACCGAACAGTTGCCAGAAGACACACAGACAAACCGGTGAAATTTCAAATCCTGAGCACAAGTCGGGGGAGGGTCCGAGAAAGGAAGCAGCGACCACAATCTACCAAACGTTCAATTCAGGCGCCTTTATTACACACCCGATTAAACAGGGACAACACAGACAGCCACTCCAGTAACACCACAAATCAAATAGTCCTGCATGTCTGGACTTACCTTTACTGTCTTGATCTCTGTGTTTATAGGTTTAACTGATAGTAAACTCGCCGCGTACTGCTCCGCGCCCTCTCCTCGTGCCATTCTACTCTAAAGACGTTAAGTGATTTCTCTTTATCAGTATCCGAATATTTTTCCTGTAACAAAAGAAAATCCGCGTCACAGCATCACTTCATTCCACTCGGTGCCCCGTAAAGACTCGTGCTCCGTCGCCGCCACTTCATTCATTTGACGCCACGCCGCCCACTTGCCTTGAATGACGTGTCGATCGCGTGTTTCTCGGGGGTACTTTATGTAGCGGAGGAAATTGTATTAAAAGCGTTTTTTTTTTTTTTACTTCGCCACATTTAACTGTTGTCGCGCGTTTTCTAAAATGAAGTGTTACGCGTCACCCAAAAATACATTTGCTATAGGTCCACACTTAACGCTGCTAATGTCATAAGAGTAAATAGATGTCCAGTTTCTTTTTAACGAAGTCTAAACAGTCACTGCCCTTAAACGCATCAGCAATCAACGCAAAGACAACAAACTTTTGAATTTATTTTCTATCAGCTTTTTATATTATGGTAGAATAATAACAATGTTTTTCATACATAAAGATAATACAAAGTGTTTTACATAAACAACGAAAAGCACTAGTAACATTCAAAACAATAAATATTAAAACCAAAATAAAATCAATTAAGACAAAATAAAGATACAAGAAACATTGTTAAAATGAAATAAAATACATAAAATGAAAATAAAAACAAAGAGATAACGATAAAAGAAGACTGGAAACAATATGACTATTGAGCAGTCACAGTCAGTAAGTTGCCCTGAATGCAACAAATGAAACAGAAGCGTGGCAGAGAAACTGATCAGTCAGAGGAACAGGAAAGATTAGGTGTTTCAGATTAGACTTGAAAAAGGCTATAGAGCACATTTAAGGTCATCAGGAACGGTCAGGGACAGAAAGAGACTCAACAAACTGGTTAAGAGAGCTGGGTCTGTCCTGGGCTGCCCCCTGGATTCCATCAAGGAGGTGCCAGACAGAAGGATGCTGGTAAAGCTTACATCCATCATGCATAACTCCTCCCATCCCCTGCACCACACAGTGGTGGCTCTGAATAGTTCTTTTAGCACGAGACTGTTACATCCCCAGTGTAAGAAGGAGCGTTACCGCAGGTCATTCCTCCCCACAACACATCACTGCAGTGATAAGCTCGGTGAAATTATGAGGGACTATGCAATAATCTACTGAGGTGCAATATTTCAGCTCCTGGGTGTGAAATGCATTGTAAATAGGCTCATGTCTAATATCTTGTTCCTGATCTCTCTCAAATACTGTACATTGCCCTGCTTTAGGTATTTTTGAGTAGTTGCTCAGAGATCCTTATGGCTGAAACACAGGTTTCTTTCCCCCATTGTGTGATTAATTGTGTGAGTAATATTCGATTGTTCTTGATTTCCTGGTTGTTTAGTCTCTACTGCTGTTCCTGATTCTCTCCAGTGCTGCTCTGCCCTGTTTTTAGGTGCCTTTGATTTGCTTATTTGTGCTGTGTAAAATGTAATGTTCTGAGCTACTTTTTAAACTCAGTGTTTCAAAGAACATTATGAGAGGACATCAGCTTCCTTGTAAGCATAATTTCTCATCTGTATAACCATGCACAGCTCAGTGCCCAATGACAGAAGGACAACCCTCAGTGCTTGTAAATAAACTTTTGTATATAGCTATCTGAAAAACTCCATCTAAACTGTGTGTATATACACATATATAAGTACTTTATTATTATCACCCTAATGCACATTCTATTTTTTCATTTGTACTTTCTTTTTCTTTTCTTCTTCTCTCAGACCTATCTTGTTTACTTGTTGCCTTATGGAAGAACGTTGTACATACACATAGAGAGCCACTGTATCAGAGCCAAATTTCTTGTGTGTTCCACACGCCTGGCCAGTAATGTTAATTCGGACTCTGATTTTCTCTACTTAAAATAATACTGGTGGGAGTCCAGTTCATGACCTTTTGGTAGGTTTACCTTCATCAATGGTTTCCCCCTGACTCTCTATTAACCCAGCCAGAGTGAAACAAAGCCTGCATGGTTAGCTTGGTGTACATTTGGGGGACTTAGCTGGTCTTATGACATACAGCAACAAAAAACACCTTAATCCTTTTCGGCTGATTTGTTTCCCAGCAAACATGAAAATTACACAACTTATGAATAACTATGAGCATTAAGAATCAATCAGTTTACTGTATTTACATTTTAATTGAGGTTCTATTTTGCTTAGTTAAAATTAGTCAGGTTTTATTTATTTTACTTTTTCTTTTTCTAATTTATATTTATACCTTAAAGTGTGTTCACAGAGCTCCGGTTGACCCCCGAGTAAACACCAGTAGACGTGAACAGCTGCACCATCAGGCCTCAGCATGTCTGTCTGAAAGGGCTGCGGGTCTCACAAGTTTCAGGGTAAAGCCAGAAAGGATAAGGATGGTGCAGCCATCCTTATCTGCAACAATGTGCAGTTGATCCATTCTACCATGCTTGAAGATTTTTGACCGTATCTGATTTATTGTGCTCCTCTAAAATTATACTTTCTAATAGTATATGCACCAACAGGGTCAGTCATCATTCATTACTAAACTGATATCCATATCTTCTGATCTTAATTTTCACCAGTTCATTATTATGGGAGTAGAATTAAACTGTGTACTGAAACCTTCTCTTGATTGTTCCTTAGAATGGCCAGCTCCCAGGTTTTTTGTCCAGATGTGGTATTTTCAGTGCATCTTTGTTTTTAAAATCCCACTGCATGTCAGTATTCATTATTTTCTCCAGTACAACATTCTTTGTCAGGAATCAGTTATGGTTTTTGTCAACTAAACATCTAGGAAAAACATCTCAGTTTCTGATCATGCACCACATTAAATTAAATATTAATTTGTGCCAAAATTCTTTCCTTATGTTTGGAACAAATTTTACATGAGCTGATAAATAAAGGCTGGACTGGATTGTTAATAAATGGACTGTATTTATATAGCACATTTTTCCACAGTGTGTTCCACTGGCCAAAGTGCTTTACAGGAGATGATACACCATTCACACACCGGCACTAGCACTGGGAGCAATTTGGGGTTCAGTGTCTTGCTCAGGGACACTTAGGCATGCAGGGAGACCAGGAGTTGAACCACCAACTTGCTGGTCAGGAGCCAACTGCCCTACCTCGTGAGCCACAGCCACTCCATAGGTAGGAATAGGTGGGAAAATCCTGAATGTGACTTACTCCTATTCCTAGGAGTGTCTCGGCGCCGTGACATCACATACTGATCCATGGACTGTGGAAATCGGAATGATGGATAGAAACATTACATTCAAGTTGGACACGGGAGCGGATGTCACTGTTGTTCGCAGAAGACTTTTGCCAACATTTTCCAAAACATGCCGTTGCCAATGCTTCATAAAGCAGAGAGACCTCTACTGGGTCCAGGGCGAATTCCACTAGAAGTGATGGGGTTTGTCAAACTACAGCTAAATAAAGGAGATAAGCAAATCACAGAGAAGGTGTATGTGGTAAAAAACCTAAGTATGCCTTTGCTTGGACTGCCAGCTATTGTAGCTCTTGGTCTACTGATTCGTGTGGACATTATTGACATGGGCACCCTGAAGTCAAGTTACCCAAAGTTATGTAGCGGCTTAGGTAAGGTCCGACAACCCTATTGTATTAAGCTCAAACCCGATGCTGTGCCCTTCTCTTTGAAAACCCCAAGGAGGATTCCCCTACCGTTGATGGGGAAGGTCAAGGATGAGCTTCAGCACATGGAAAACTTGGGAGTAATCACTCGCTTGGAAGAGCCTACCAACTGGTGCGCAGGCATGGTGGTAGTGCCCAAGAAGGACAGTAAAGAGGTGCGATTGTGTGTGGACCTAACGGGCCTGAACAAGTATGTGTGTTGTGAAAAATACATTTTGCCATCCATGGAACAGAGTCTTGGGACTCTGGCTGCTGCTCAAATGTTTAGTAAACTGGACGCCAATATGGGGTTTTGGCAGATACCCCTTACTGAGGAGTCAGCGAAGTTTACCACATTCATCACACCCTTCGGGCAGTTCCACTTCAACCGTCTTCCATTTGGCATTGCCTCAGCGCCCGAACATTTCTAATGCATGATGGCGGAGGTCACAGAGGGGCTGGAAGGTATAGTTTGCCACATTGATGATGTGCTGGTATGGGGGTGGGACCGAGGAGAACATGACACTCAACTCCATGCAGTGCTACAAAGACTGGGGAGAGTGGGAATCACTCTGAACCTGGATAAGTGTGAACTCTCCAGGAGTGAGGTGGTATTTTTGGGTCATATCATTTCTGCCTCAGGAATACGACCTGACTCAAGAAAGACGGAAGCTATTAGAGATATAAAAGAGCCCTCTAATGTGAGTGAACTGAGGAGTTTTCTTGGCATGGTAAACCAGCTGGGGAAGTTCATCCCCCATTCATTCATCAAAGAGACGAAAGTGTCAGCGGATGCATCGTCTTATGGCTTGGGGGCTGTTCTCCTTCAGGAGTGGGGTGACAAATGGAAGCCTACGCGTCACGCTCACTCACTCCAACTGAACAACGCTATGTGCAGGTGGAAAAGGAAGGCCTGGCTCTAACCTGGGCGTGTGAAAGGTTTCAGGATTTTCTCCTAGGAAAGCATTTCTGCTTGGATACCCACCATAAACCACTTGTCAGCTTGTTCAGTGATCAAGCACTAGATCTTCTACCCCTGAGAATTCAGCAGTTCAGGATGAGGCTCATGCGATACTCGTACTTCATTGTGTACGTGCCAGGAAAGTCACTTTGGACAGCAGACACATTGTCACGTTCGCCTGTGGACACTCACATGTCTGAAGCAGAACAGGAGCTGATGGAAAGCACTAATATATATGTGGACTGTGCAGTGGAAACCCTACCTGCTAGCCACACGTATATGGAAATCATAAAGAGCAGTTGCAAGCTGATAGTATCTGCTCTCGTGTCATGAAGCTCTGTGCAGAGGGATGGCCAGTGCATGCAAAGCAGGAACCTGCACTGAGAGGCTACTGGCCAGAACAGGCTACACTCACTGTGCAAGATGGTTTACTAGTAAAAGACACTAGGCTTGTGATCCCGTCCATTCTGAGGAATGAGGTGTTGGTGAAGTTGCATGAAGGACACAAAGGGGTGGTGAAATGCAGAGAACGTGCTCGTCAGTCTGTGTGGTGGCCAGGACTCAGTCAGCAGGTCAGTGAAATGGTGCTCAAATGCAGGGCA